AGCCAGGGCGGGCTCTCCGGAGCCAGCCGAGCTGGTATGCACACACATTTGTTCATTGTCAATCCGCATTTTGCATGAATCTCTGGCACAAGACAAATCGAAGTGCACACGCGGGCGTCGTCACTCGCGCCGGAATCCTTCCACAAAAGCTTGAGGTTTCGCTGGGATTTCAAAATCGAGTGCCCCGAACACATTAAAGCAAAAGTACTGCAACATGAGTTTTTCAAAAGATGCCCGCACGTGCTTGCGAATTCTGAAGAATCCCGTCGGTTTTCCAACATGTTCGTCGTCAAATTCGACCAAACGTGCCTCTCGCGCGCGCATGGCGAAACCATTCGAACGCCAGTGCTCGCGTGCTGAGGGGGCACGATCTGTGTCAAATAATACCATGCGGGCGACTCGCGCCCGTCGGCCGCGCGCGCATGTCGAAATCTTTTGACACCTTCATCGCCGACACGTGGACACTGTCATCGCCACCAGCGTGATCAGCATCGGCGCCGTCATTGGCCTTGCCGTCGTCATCGCCATCGTCGTCACCAATATAGCTACAATCATCATCGTGTTTGCCGTTGCCGACGTTGCTATGATACCGCGTCCGCCCGAGTTACCTACGCGCACTGGAACGTGCGCGCGCCAGAGCGGCCTGCGAGACGCGCTGGGGAATCCCCAGCGGTCAGCGCCACCGCGGCCGCGTCGGTCGCGCCAGACTAGCTGGCCGCTATGCGCGCGTGCCTGCGCGCGCTAGCGCGGCCGCAGCGATGCGCCAGCCAGCGCCAAGCAGTCATCGCAATCGCCGCCGCATGGGTTTTGCAAACTAGTTTGCGTGCGGGTGGGTGGGATGATTGTGCGAGCAGTAGAGTTGACAACTTCAACGTCGGCAGGGTGAATTGCAATATTGACCGCATACCACATACGTTGCACCACATATAGAAATCCATGTATATGGATAAACGTAGACTGCTAGAACCATATTGGCTGGGGCTCATGCTGGCGCTTCCTCGTAGCAAAATGTATTGTCGCATGTGTCGGCTGTAGACTTGCATCCCTCCGTTGCGGCCACGGACGCGTACAGTCGGGAATTTTGGCTTGGCGTGTCACTCTTCTGGTTTTGGTCCTCGGTGCGACGCGCTATCCACGTCCCCGTTTCTAAGCCTCAGCGTCACGAGCTGTTCCCAGCTTGCCGCACCGCAGAGCGGAACGAGACGCTATCCGGTTGCAAGGCGTAGCGTGTCGCCAAGGCCGCCTCCGCGGCACGCTACACAAAAGTTCTTGACCGTATGCACCGATAGTTGGCCTTGGATGAGTTTGGCCAAGATCGGTGAAGGTGTATACGTTGTGTTCTGTTCGGTTTGTTCAATATGTGGGTTTCCTGATCATTCGACCAGATCTCTCGCATGGATTTCGCTGTGGGTTGTCTTCCGTGGGTCCCCCGGGCCCGAAAAGAACCCTTGGATGCCCGAATTCAAAGAAACTCACCGATGCTTGTCCGCAGGTCGGGAGTGAGGGCCGCTCGGGGCGAGTGTGACATCACCAGAAGGCGAAGCGCAGCTGCTGGCAACACCTTGGGGCCAGAAATTCTGAAAGGCCCGACGACGACGATTTCGATGACGACCACGGCGACCGCGCCACGACCCACGGCCCACAACGACGGTGATGGAGGCGACGACCACGACCACAACGACCACGACGACCGCGACGACCACGGTCACGACCGCCACGACCCGTGCTTTAGGATGACGGCGACGGCGACGATCACGACCACGACGACCACGACGACCACGACCACGACCGACAACGGCGACCATGGCCACGGCCGCGGCCACAACCACAACGACGATGACACACGACGACTACCGCCACCACCACCACCACCACCACCACCACCACCACCACCACCACCACGGCCACGGCTATGATCACGACCACCACGACGATAACCGACGACGACAAGCACAACCACGACGGCGAGTGCCGAGGTCCGTTCGGCCTGGAGCCGAGGCCGCTCGGCGGCTACGGCGGTCGCGGCCCCGCCCGCCGGCGGCGCCATGGACTCGGGCGCGGCGCCGGCGGACGCCGCTGTCGCGGGCAGCCCCAGAGCGGTGGCAGGATTACGTGGGGGCCCTGCGCCGGCGAAGTTGGAGGTATGGGTGGGTAAGCGTGCGCGTGTGTGTGCGCGTGTGTGCCAGTGCACATACAGTCAGGACGCTGAAATAAGGACCGCTTTGGGTTCGGATGGGGCTCGCTTTTCTTTCGCTCATTCCAGGGCTGTTCCTCTAGCCCTCCTCGTGCACCCAGGCGCTTCTGGCGCTAAACAGGGGACTCGTTTCTTATTCAGCGTTCTTTATTTCAGCAGCACTTCTGTATGTCCTCGAAATTCCGTCTGGCGTCGATTTGCGTCGATGGACGTCGATTTGGCGTCGACGAGCGTAGATGTAGCGTCGACTCACGTCGATCATCGTCGGTTGGCGTCGGTTCGCGGGGCCGCGCGCGGGCGCTTGAGACCCGAGCCCCTCGACGCGCGCGGGCGCTCGAGGCCTTGCGGCCTCGAGGCGCTCGAGGCCTGTGGCCTCTGGCGACGGGGCGGTGCGCCGCGTGGCCTAGCTGCGGCCGGGCGCAGCGCTCGGCCTCGAGGCGTCCCGGAGGCGCCTCGGGGAAAAGCGGCGCCGCTTCGGGGGTGGCCAGGGCCGCCTCGGCGGCGGTGGCGCGCGGCGCGCGGCGCTAGGGGCGGAGGATCCTGCGTCGGGGGCTGCAGCAAGGGCGTGTGGCCCCCGGTGGCCAAGCAGAGACGAGGCGTCCTGGCTCGCCCATCGGCCCACCAGAGAGTGTTCTGTGAACCTCTTGGGATCTGCACGCAATGTTGTCAGAACGTTTCTGGCTGAGGCAGTCCTGTTTTAAAGTCAAGGCGCTGAAATAAGGACCACTTCGGGTTCGGAAGGGGCTCGCTGTTCATTAGATCACTCGGTGCTTGCTCTTCTGGCCCTCTTCGTGCACCTGGGCGCTTCTGGGGCTAAAAAGGGGTTCCGCTCCCTATTTAGCGTTCCTTCTGGTGGCACCTCGACTGTAGCACGCCGGCTGGATGTTCTGAGAGCATATTTATCCTTATGATCGCATTCGCTTGTTCTAGAAACACATGTCGTGGTGGGCCTACAGGGATGCCAGGACGGTCCCCGCTCCAGGGAAGGTGGGCGCCGCGTGTGTCCAGGTGCTCAGGCCGCCCACGCAGGAGGCACACCAATGAGGAACCGGCATGCCCACGGATGGGCCCGTAGTGCCCTGGGGCATCTGACGAAGTCGCCCCTCGCGCAGAGGGGGGTATGAGGGAAGGGGGGCTTCCCAGAAGCACCCCTGCTTCGGAGAAGGCGCGGGCCTTGTCTATAGATGTAGGGCTGGCGCCTTCTCAGAAGCGGCCTCCTTCTAAGAAGGCCTCCCCCTCCCCCGGCCCCCTTCTGCGCGCCGCCAAGTCTTCGCCCCAGTCGCCGCCTCTGGGACTTGTTCCAGCCTCCAGAGCCCACAGCAGGCAGTCCCAGGCGCAACATCCATGCGAAAGGCGGGGTCGGCAGCCTCCATCGACCAGTCGCGTCGGTGCTTTTTAGGTTAGGGTCTCGCGAGAGAAGTGCTGGCCAGCATTCTGCTGAGGACGTGCATCGAGCTTCTGTACCCTACTCTGCGACCACGTGTGAACCCTACCCGTACGTGTCCAATCGACGCTGGGGTATCGGACACCACCATGGGAGTTCACTTGGCTGCAGACATCATTCAAACTCTAAGCCCTAGCCGATTTTTCGGAAATGTGACCTAGGGAGGTTCCGCGGTGCCGTTCGTGGGGCGTATCGACTGCAGGCATGTGAGCGATGTGAGTCCGAGGTTTCAAGCTGAGCAGTGCTGCACGTCACAGCAACGCCGTGGCACAGCCGCATGGCGGGCAACCGCCATGTCAACCGTTCCGGCTCCACCTCTAACGAGGAGCATCTTCAGAGTCATGATACGTACGCATTATGTGCGCTGCGGGCCCGGGCCACCCGCAGGTGCGCAACGATGAACGTGCCTCACGCTTCGAGGCCCGGGCTGATGAGAGAGGCGCGCTTCTGCAGCGAGGCAGCGCGAGGGCGCTAAATCTATATTGTTTCGTGCTTGGCGTGGCGCGACGCTCGGTGTTACGGGCTGGAACTATGGCTTAGCTTGTCGCGCCGCCGGTTCTGGCCCACCGCGCTTCGGCGCGACGCGCTATCCACGGCCAGGCCTCCGAGCGTCAGCGTTCGGAGTTTCTTCGAGCATCCCGCCCCAAGGAGCGGAGCGACACGCCATCCGTTTGCAAGGCATAGCGTGTCGCTGGGGCCGCCGCCGCGACACGCTATGCAAAAGTTCTTGACCGTAGGTGCCGTCCAGGGCAACCGGAGCCTGACCACCACCATACCAAAGCGCGACCTGGCCGTCCCCATTGCACATCTGTGCATCAAGCGTGGACACAAGCCTGGCTTGGCCAGGTCTTCTTGTGTCGTTCGAAAGTTTCCTGTTCTTGAAGGAGGGAGGGATGCACAGATCGTGGCCGGCCTGTGTCGCTGCCAGCAGGCATTCCCTTGCTTCCGTCCGTGATCCCATCTTCCTCCTCGACCGCCCCTTCATCCTCCTCATACTCCTTGTCCTCGTGACCCTCATCGTCCACATCTTGTTGTCATCCTGCTCCTTCCCGTCCTCCTCATCAACCCCCTCCCAGCTGTGGCTGGCTGGCCCTCATGGGCAAAAACAGCCAGAAATAATAATCAGAGGTTCTGCAGCCATTCCGGTCAAGGCACAAGGGCTAACTAGTGCGCGACGCGTGCTTATTGGCTGGCGAACACTCTGACAGCATATGCCCGCGCTCATGGCGATGTTTCAAGATGGCGAGGCTGCCTTCGCCGACCCGATCAAGGGCAAGACGGCGCGCCCCAGCTCCCCTGCCGGAGAAAGCTCGTTCCCCACGCGGTGCCCGTCTTCGGAACTATTGACCTTCGATCGGTGCGATGACGACCACGACCACGACACCACCGCGCCGCAGAAGGGCGGCGGCGAGCCGGTACCCCTCCAGGAGGTGGCCCGCGATGCCAGCGCAGAAGCAGGCCCCCCTCCGGCGCCTCCCGTCCGAGGCGTACTGGGAGCAGCAGACTACGTTCGGCCAGCGGACGAGGTGCACGCCCTGGGAGACGGGCGTCAGGCAGCGCAGCGCGTCCTTCGAGGAGGACCTCCCCGGGACGGCGGCGGCCGCGACGCCCGCGCCGGAAGATGCCGAGGGCGGCTGCGAGGGCGCCGCCGAAACCGCCACGTGCTGGGCGGGCGCCATCTCCCGGGTGCTGCGCCGCGCGGTGCGCGGGCGGGCGCCGAGGCCCCGAGCGCCTGCGGTCGCCCCCCCCGTCGCGTGGCCGCTCGTACAGCTTCGCCTGAAGCCGCCACGCAGGGGACCCCCAGGTGAGATGATCGCCGTGCCGTGACGAGGACCTGGTCGCGGACCGAGCGGCCACGGTAGCGGGGTTAGAAGTTACGTTGCTACCTTGACGGTCAGCAGCGCATGCCTGATTTGAGAGTGGCCACGGTAGCGGGGTGAGCAGACTCTCTCAGGGTTAGCAGCGGATCTTACTTGATCGAGTGGGGGTACGGCAGCGTCGTGTCGTTCCGACGAGGCAGCGACCCTACCGCGGGCGTTCCAGGCTGAACGCCGCCAGAGGCCCAGAACCGGCCAACATGGACCGATCTGGCGATCGAAAAGCCGCTGATGCTGAAGCATGTTGCTTCTTCACACCCGTACTCAAGGTCTGCTCGCGGCTGAGCAGAGTTGGCTTGCTTTTCCGACCATTTGACGCGTTGCTTGAACGGTGCAGGTTTGAGACCGTAAGGGCCAAGGAAATACTTAATTCAGCTTGAGTCGTCGTGCATATGTTGGAACGCGGTGCGCAGCAGGAGGATGGGGGGGATGATGAGGAGGAGCTGGTGTCGGGACAGAACCAGCCACGCGCGTTCGCCAGGCATCGGTCTCGCGAGTGATTTGTGTATCTGGAGGCATTGTAGGCATATATATATATATATATATATATATATATATATATATATACACACACACACACCCGTGCACGGGGCCCGAGCGCCTAGGGCCCAGGGCTCGGGGGGGCATGGGAGGACCGGGGTTTCCCAGACCGCTCCCAGAGCACCCCGGAGGGGCCGTGGAGCCCCCAGACTGCCCCAGAGAGCTCCAAGACGCTCCCGGAAGCCCTCGGGGACTTCCACAAGCCCCTCCAAGACAGCCAAGATAGCCCCAACGTGGCCCCAGATGGGTTCCAGACCGGAAATACACAGCCCAAGAGGCATCCGAGAGGCCTAAAGAGACCTCCGAGAGGCGTCCCGAGAGAGGCCGAAGAGGCCCAAATCATTGATTTTCATGTGTTTCTTCTATGTTTTTCGGTGTCTCGCGTTTTCGATCTTCCGACGCTCCACGACAGCCGACGACGCCACTAAGACCGCCCCAAGACCGCCGAAGAGGCCCCCAACAGTGCCCCAAGACTGCTCCAGGGAGCCTGAAAATTGCCCGGGACGGGCATCAGACGGCCCAAGAGAGCCACAGGACAGTCCCAAGCTGGGCCCCAGAGCGGGAGCGAGAGGCCCCAGGGCGCTCGAAGACGGCCCTGATGGCCCCAACGTGGCCCCAGATGGGCCCAACACGGCCAATACACAGCCCAAGAGCCCTCCAAGAAGCCCCAGGAGAGCTCCGAGAGGCGTCCCGAGAGGGCCCGAAGAGGCCCATATCCTTGATATCCGGCTGTTTTTCTAATGCTTTTCGCTTTCTCGCGTTCTCGAGTTTCCAACGCTCGAACACGGCGGAAGACGCCCCTAATAACGCCCCAAGACCGCCGAAGAGGCGGCCCCAAAAAGAGCTCCAAGACGGCCCAGGAGAGCCCGAAGACTGTTCAAGAGCAGCCCAAGACTGCCAACAGAGCCCCAGGACAGGCCCAAGCTGGGCCACAGAGCGGCAGCGGGAGGCCCAAGAGGCCAAGAGGCCTCCAGGAGGGCTCCAGAGAGCTCCGAGAGACGCCCCGAGAGAGCCAAAAGAGGCCCACATCATGGATACGCATTGGTTTGTTCGGTGTTTTTCGCTTTCTCGTGTTCTCGAGCTTCCAATGCTCGAAGACGGCCGCAGACGCCCCCAAGACCGCCCCGAGACCGCCGAAGAGGCACCCAAAAGAGCCCCAAGACGGCCCCAGGGAACCCGAAAATAGTTCAGGAGGAGCCCCAGACGGCCCAAGAGAACGCCAGGACAGGCCCAAGCTGGGCCACAGAGCGGGAGTGGGAGGCCTCAGAGCGCTCCAGGCCCAAATGGCCCAGGCCTTCCCCCCTCCGTCTTTCCTTCACTCCCGCCCCCTCCCCTTGCTTCCATTCCCTCCTCCCTCCTCTTCCTCCGCTCACCCCTCAGCTTTCGTGCTCCTCCCTCCTCTCCTGGGCCTGGGACGGCCCCGCCAGAGTGCCAGACAGGCCCCGCCAGAGGGAGCCGGGCATCGCTATACCCTATCATTTCACGAGTTGTTTTCCCCCTCCCGCCACCCAAAGCGCGGCCCCGGCAGAGCGAGAGCCTTCTGACTACGCGTTTCTTTGCGTCGATGGCATGGGCCCGAGAGCGCTGGAAACCGTCGTCGTGACCATATGTATATGTATAGGTATATCATTATGTATATGCATATGTATATGTATATGTGTATGTATATGTGTATGTATATGTATTTGTAAATGTATATGTGTATGTGTATGTGTATGTATATGAATATGTATATGCATATGTTTGTGTATGTGTTTATGTATATGTGTATGTATATGTATATGTATATGTATATATGTATATATGTATATATATGTGTATGTGTGTATATATATGTATATAGATATAGTTTCTGGCCGCCCTGCGTACAGACAATGCGGAGGCGTCAGTAGGCGGTTGTTGGTCAGTTGTACGAAGCTTGGTGATTTGAAGTGAAGAGACCCTTCACATACACCATCTGCTACCGCATCGCTGCTTGGCTACTGCCCCGAGGAGCTTTTTTTTCCGCGCTGCCCGTGCCATGTCCTTGTCTAAGCAAGCCGCCGTGGGACATAGCGTTGTTTTGCTAGTCGTATGACTTTGGGACGTTTGGAGCGGCATCCTCATGATGACGCCTTAACCCCACGATGTTGCTGTTGGTGCGCCGCCGCCCCCCACCCGAAACAAACAACAAACAAGACACGACATGCCTGGGGTAGCTGTACATTCGCTAACGATGTCTGGAGGGTGTCGTCAGCCATGCGCAGCGCCCTGAAGATGAGGGCGCGAGGGATCTCGAAAGGACGTGTCGGAGAGGAGCAGATGATTATTTTTTCTCTGTCTCATAATCCTAGCGCCTGCGTGCTAGGCATCTGCTTTAGGGCCTGCTTGTACAGCTTGCGCCTTCTTATAAGGTGGCACAAAAATCGGTGTCGGGGGTGATCTGGCGATTGCGCCAGAAAATTGAGAAAAGAAGAGATGGGGAGGTGAGCGAGAGAGATGCCCGACCCCGATAAGGTTTCATGCTTGTTCCACCGTGGATTGGCCGCTGGGCCCTGATTCTTCCTCAGGCTGGCGGGCCCCGCCAGTCCGCCTCTGACTCCCGCGCCGCGGCCGCTCCTGCGAGAGAGCAGGATGGGCCGACCCAGAACCCCTAAAAAGTGAACAAACAAATGGAAGCACACACACAAACAAACTTCGTGTTGAACGGAATTCGTTGGTTCCGTTCGACACTTGTTGTTCTAAGTTTGTTCATGTTTCTGTGAGTCCCTCGAAAGATTGCCCCCCCCCCCCCCCGTGGGGCGTGGCTCGCGCTCAGCGCTCCCAGAGATCGGCGGCGAGCCCGGGGAGGGGGGGAAATGAGGAGAGGCGGGCCTTCTCAAAAGGCTCAGTCCCCTGGCCTTCTGAGAAATTCTAGACGTTTCGCGTAACCCCACCAGTTGTACACGCACTGGGTGCCACGTGAGTGAGTCCGCCGTGCTTCCTCCCCGTCTTCTTCGCTCGCGCCCCCCGGCCCGCTCCTCTTCTTCTGGATGCCGGTCGGTGCTCCACCTGCGGGTCCGGCCTGTATTCTGTCTGCCCATCCGTGGCCGCCCTCTTCTGCTGGCATCCGCCCAGCGGCTTGTGCTTGGGTCTGCGTGCCGCCGGCAGGGCTTCGGCCCGGCCCCACCTGCGAGTTTGGCCTGTGCTCGATGGTTGCCCAATTGTGGCCGCCCCTCTTCCTAATTCGTTTGCAGGTGCATTTCGCGCGTTCTCGCGCCAATTATCTGTCGCTGTGCCCCAGCCTCGGTCATACCGCCCTGTGGACATCTCATTGCGGGCCGCAAATCAAAAAGTAACCCCACCAGCCTTACGAACGCCGCGCGGCTGCCCGCTAGCGGTCGGTAAGCACAAAGTAACCCCACCAGCCTCGCCCCCCCCCCACGCACCCGCTTGGGCGCTGCAGGGGATCCCCCGGCCTCCCTCCGCCGTCTCCCACAACGAGACCGCCGAGGCGCTGGGGGGTGCCACCGCCGCGTCGCTACACATGGCGCTGGCGCAGCCGCCGTGCTCTGCATCAGTGCGGCGCGGGCTCTCCCAACTAGGCGGCCGCTAGTCGCTCGTTCGCTGCTCCTGTCCCCCGTGCTCATCTCCTTTACCCAACATTGCAACCGTTAGTCGCTGTCACGCATGCGCCCCCTCACCCAGCAGCGGCCCGCCCTTGCGGCCGCCCCGGCTTCGTGCCTAATACCGCCCCGCGAGCGCACAGCTGGGGACGCCGGCCCTCCCCTGGCCCCCCAGCTCGCCCTTGCTCGGGTCGCTTGCGACTCTGCGCCCCGTGGCGCTGGGTCGCCCCCCCTGCGCCCGCCCCCGGCGTTGCAACGGGGTCCCCCAGTCCCCTCCGTCGTCTCCCGCCACGAGACCACCGAAACGGTTGGGGGCGTGTCTGCTGACGCTGCGCGCGCCGCGTCCGCCTGCCGCGCCGCGCGTCGCCACAGCCGCCACGGTTGCCGCTGCTGCTGCTACCATGCCGCTGCCGCCGCCAGCTCCCCTCGGGCGACGACGGTGGCTGGCGTCGCCGCTGCTGGTGCGCGGCGGCACCGCCCCAGCGCGCGAGGCCGCAGGGAAACCCCCTCGGCCCGTCGCGTTCGGGCAAACGCTCCCCCCGTGGGGAGTATTCTTGTTGGTGGGACCCTTCGCTTCTTGCTGCCAGGTCCCTCATCTCGCAGTCACACCTGGCCTGCGACGGCCTGCCGCTCGTATTCTTGCGCATGAGGTCGCTGGGACCCCCCCCGACCCAGGACGCAGGTCTGCGGGCCTTTCCTTCGTCGTGGCCGCCGTGGCCGCGCCAGAGGTCTGCTTGCTGGCCTCTCCCTATTCCGGGGATTCTCCAGGGCTCCTGGGCCCGCGGCTCGCCTTGAGTCTGCCGCCTCTTCTTCCCGCCCGGGGTAG